GAGTGATGCATCTTTAAGTTATAAAAGTTTTTTGACGCTCAATCACAAACTGCGATCCCACAATTCCTTGCAGTCGTTACTAGTCTTCCTTTGAACTTCGAAAGAAAACTCCCCCAAACCATATTGTTTTTTAATAAAAATTTTGGTATTCTTTGAATATAGCAAGCCAAGTGCTCTCACTGATATCAAGTACTAAAAGTTAGTCTTTTGAATAAAATTCTTAAGAAGTTAGAAGTTGAAGGTGTGTGGGGGGTTATTTTTTTAACTAGCTATGAATTTAACAAGTGCACTGCAGCACCCAAGGCTAAAGGACTTGGAAAATCAATTGCTCCAGCCCAAGAGCCCTTGAAAAGCGAGGAAAAACCTGACATAACCTTTCAGCAAAGTAGTGCTGTTAAGTTTGTATGGCTTCATTCGTTCCGGTTCCAATATCGTTAGAATTAACTTTAACGAGGAGCATCTGTCTTGCACTTCGGATGTGAATTTTCAATTTGAAGGGTCATTTTTTCGCTTAATCGATCGCAAAGACAGCAGATAACCACCTTTTCTTCACTCTATTCTTTTTTTTCCTTCTTCGTCTTTACCTGATATTGCTTGTATCTAATATTTGTTTGTTAAAAGTTTCGTTGGTCTTTCAAAGGCGTTTTTATGTCATTCATTGTTATAGTTAAAAGATCTATTAACTATGATGTTTAAGAGTAGCATGTGCAAAAATAAGTTGAAGACCGATCTCCTCCTCTTTTCGACTGAAAATTGTATCAAAATGTAAATGAAAACTACGGTCTGGTGGGGCAGATGGCGCTCCGAAAGCCCATTGTTCACCCAAACTTCATCATTAATARACCGTTTTTTTTCAAGATTGCGTGCGCATCCCAATTTAAGGAACTTGACGGGCCAYGATACCARAACACGAGTATTATCATGCAYTGCTATGAAATTTTTTTCGATAAGAATTCATAAAATCGATTATTCTCCTCTTCAAATATAAAACTGTCTTCTCAATTTTACTGAATTTGCGTTTTTTAGTTTCGTGGCCCGTCAAGCTGGATGCGCACGCAACCTTGAGAAAATGGTCTATAACATATTGGTTTTCGACGCTCTATGTCATATAAAATAATTTTATTATAGCCATATCTTTTGCATATACCTATATTTAAGAAAACGTTGTGGGTCGGAAATCTGAAATGAATGTAAGACCGAAATGAATCGTGAAAAAGTTAATATCTAAATAATAATAATAATAATAATGATATGCTAACTTTGAACGATGACCTGCGCTGGTGGATTGTCTGGCTAAGTGCGTAGAGAGAAAGAATAAACAAATAGGACTTATTTAATTATTATCATCATTAATCATCATCATCATATCATTATCATTATTATTATTATT